CTATCTGCGCATGTCTCAGACTGTTCTTCTGTTACCTATGATTAAGGATTCCTGAGGGAATCCGAAACCCCGGTGTGTTGGGAACAAGTAACATATCCAAACACCTATATCTAAGCGGGGACTGTGTCATACGATGTGTCTTGTCACTCGTGGAGCAGGGTCAATTCCATGTGCGACTCACGTACATCGGCTGCTTTGCTGTGCCGGTCACTATGTTCACGGCTAAATGCAGTCCTTCTGGCATTCTCTTGCCTGGCGAATGTAGAGCGAATTGGAATATCTACCGACCTACACTGGGCAAGACTACGAACACGTGGGTCAATGAGCCGCAGGACCGGACGGGACCATGGGGTTCCGTAACCAATTGGTGAGCTTCTATTCACTAATATCAGTATTCCCGATCGACGTCGGCAGGACAACGATCCCCTGGCTCAATGACTAGACAGTTAAACTTTTGAGCATTAGGCCGCGTGTACGAGCATCGGCCGCGGAAGCATCCGCGTGTAGATATGGCTGCTGATGACGACAAGTAAGCCAGAAATTGCCGTTCCCATTTCTCTGGTCTTTGTTGGTAATATGCTCTTGTCTATACTAGCCGCTGTGCACCTGCTGTGCAGCTGAGTGGTGGAACAGGCGGGTCCCGTAACCGATCGCTTAGCACTAAGGAACCAAAGCAAATTATGCCGACAAAGCCCATAATGCACCAAGGGTTCCAGGAAACGGTTCTAAGCCGTATATGCACACCGCACTGCTCACCTCCATTCAGGTGTAATGGATTGAGACGCAGTGGAAAAAATTCTTGAGCACTGTCTCGCTTCAATAACAACAACAGCTACGTTATGACAGACTCAACGCAGGCTGTGGAGGATGTGGTCGTAGTCCTGAGAAAAACAATTTATTTGCGCCTATGAATTTGTGACCCGTGAGGATCCCAACGCGTTATTAGCAAAACCGGTGCACGCAAAACAGGTGTTTTCGCAAAGAATAAACTTTTGAACCCTTAGCAATAAAAGCATCATCGATCTCTTAAGGAA